AAATATAAATCAATAAGTCAATATTTTTATTTATTTATTTATTTTTTTTACAAAGTTCTCATGTTTATACCATTGTTTAGTTTTTAGCATTAAGTACTATAAATCTCAAAATGTAGAAAATGAAGAGTTCAGAAACTTAAGAAGTAAGCCTTTATTTCTTTGTTTTGCATATAAAGCTGAGTTGTTGCTTTTTGGTGATTAGTCAAAGAGACCAAATCCCATATCCTCATCCGACTCCTCCGACTCTTCCTTGGCTTCAACCTTGGCTGGGGCCACAGCAGCAGCAGGAGCAGCAGTAGTAGCAGCAGCCACTGGGGCAGCAGCCACAAATGCAGATGGATCAGCCAAGAAGGCCTTGACCTTCTCAGAAAGTGGGAAGGTGTATTCAGTCTCCACAGACAAAGCCAGGACCCTCGTGTACCCATTGATGATAGAATGGGGTACTGATGCAACAGTTGGATAACCAATCTGCAGGCAAACACTAGCAACATTGCGGACACCTTCCAGGAAGCGTGAATGCAGAGTCTCCTCTGTGATGTCAAGCACTTCAGGGTTGTAGATGCTGCCATTGTCAAACACTTGCTGAATGATCAGCCCAAAGGAGAAGGGGGATATGTTCAGCATGTTCAGCAGGGTAGCTTCGCTGGCTCCCACTTTGTCTCCAGTCTTTATCAGCTGCACATCACTCAGGATTTCAATGGTGCCCCTAGAGATTTTAGTGGTAATGCCCAAAGCCTGGAAGAAGGAAGTCTTCTCGGGCCCCAGACCAGTGTTCTGGGCTGGTACGGTGACTTCACATGGTGCAATGGCACCAGCACGGGCAGCAGCTGGAACCTTATTGGCCAGCAGCATGTCCCTGATCTCAGTGAGGTCCTCCTTGGTGAACACAAAGCCCACATTCCCCCTGATATGAGGCAACAGTTTCTCTAGAGCTGGGTTGTTTTCCAGATGCCCTCGAATGGCCTTGCGCATCATAGTGTTTTTGCCCGTCAGCACCACAGCCTTCCCCCGGAGGGACATTAGGATCTGCTTCATCTGTTTGGAGCCCACATTGTCTGCTCCCACAATGAAGCATTTTGGATAGTCATCCAAAAGTTGGATGATCTTAAGGAAGTAGTTGGACTTCCAGGTCGCCCTGTCTTCCCTGGGCATCACGACGGTGCGTCAGGGATTGCCACGCAGGGTTTAAAGACGATGTCACTCTCACGAGGACGCCTGGCGAGAAGTCAATATTTTTAAAATGCTTCAGTTTAGGCTATAGATACTACCATTTAAATAGAAGGGTATGGGCAATTATGTGTATGTTCTTATTTATACATCCGTTAACATGTATATCTAGATTTGCATACTCGTGTAAGGTAACTCTAGAAGCATGAAACCTGTAAATAGTAACTTTGATTTCTTTCCAGGAAGAAAACTGATAGCTGGGAGATAGAGTGAGCGAGATTGCTAGGGAGAGGCTCGGGATATAGGATGAAAGGAACCAAAAGAAACCAATGACTAAGGAGCGGCAGGACGGTGGGGAAGAATCCTGAGAAGCTGGAGGGATGGGAGAAAAGTTTGAAAGGGCAAATTGTGCAGAGGCACCTACATGTGTTTCACCCAGCGTTTCCACTCCGAGGTATTTATCTATGGGATTCTTGCACACTTGGAAAAAGACCTGTGCATAGGATTACCCACTGCAGCATCTCTGTTCATCTGTTTGCAGCATTATATTATGTATTTATTTTTGCTGTGCTGGGGATTGCTCTACCATCAGAGACGATCTACCACTGACCTATATTCCCAGCCCTTTTTAGAATTAAAAAAAATTTTGAGACAGGTCTCCCTAAATCGCCTGGACTGACTTCAAATTGGCAGTCTTCCTAACTCATCCTCCCCAGTTGCTGGGACAACAGGCTGTACCACTGTGCGCAGCTACAGCATTGTTTTTAATCACAAATGCTTGGAAACAACTCAAATGTTCACTAGTAGGGGACAAAGTAAATAAATTATGATTTCCCCATCCAGTGAGTGCTCCACCTCCAACCAGTCAGGGCTGCCTCCTCCTGTTTTGTGCCCAGCCACCAACTGCCTTTATATGGTAGTTCAGCTTTTTAATGGAGCTGTGATATGTAGCAGTCATCCTTAGCCACAAGAGGGCACAAGAACCTTTTGATTGCCATGGCATAGGCTGGTGCTGGATGTCACGTCTGGCAAAATCCTTTTAACTCACTCCAGACTGTGTACACCTGGAAGGCAGGGCCAGTGTCTTTAGAGGAGGCTGTAAAGAGGTGGGAGGAGAGAACGCAGATTTTTGGAATCACTTTTACCTGCCATTTGGATTTCCTACCCTCCTGCAAATTAGATAAAGAACTGGTTACAGTATTTAACCACTTTCAGAGCTTAAGCTCTGAAAATAATGTAAGACATTAGAGGCATTATTGCATAATAGAGTTTGTATGCATTGAGGCTTTGGAGTTCCCACCCCACTTAACATCAAGTCCTGGTTCTGTGGCTTTGGGTCACTTACTGTCTGTGTCTGTTTTATTCAATGAGATAATCCAAATAAAGCTCTTAGCACTATATTATGGTCAGCACTCAAAAAGAGTTGCTATAAGTATAATACCATGTATCAGAGATGGATACTAGGTCTTCAGTAATTCTTGATATGTGGTTCTTAGTTATACATTTAATATTTCTTTGATTATAAGCAAGATGATAATGTTGGTTTTAGGACAATTTCAAAGCTCCATTTCTTAGAGGGGCTTACAAAATATTTGTAGCTGTTCATTTCTTGCAAATAATTTGTCTTTTATTAGTATGGTACATCCTGAATTTTTGCAGAGAATCTTAATTTTAAAGATTCCATATATGATGATTTTGTGCATTTTTTAAGAGAAAATTTGGTATTTGTGTTATATGCTGAGGCTGGGTTGGGCAACATGATATTGCTTGTTTCAGGTTGAGATCCAGGGAAAGCAAACTGAGATAAAGATTAGTGGGTGAAAAGCATAATAGGGAATGGTTTATGGGATCACGCCCCTGAAGGAAAAGAAATGAAGGAGATGAAGAAGGAGGAGAGAATCATTTTTTTTTTTTTTGAGAGAGAGAGAGAGAGAATTTTTTTTAATGTTTATTTTTTAGTTTTCGGTGGCACCCTACGCATGCCAGGCGAGCACGCTACCGCTTGAGCCACATTCCCAGCCCGGGAGAGAATCTTATACAGAGGGAGATGTTGAGCTATGATTCAGTGTCTGTAAAGGCTTTAATCTACATTGTGGAGAATATGGATTTAGGATGGCCCTTCTGAGTTGGAGGAAAGGGGTTGTGTCTTTATAGTTTTTCCTGACTAGTCACTGGATGTCAGTTGTCATTTCATGAGGGCTGCCCCAGAAAGGGCATAGCCCTATGCTAAGCAGTGCTCTTAACCAAGACATTTCCAGAAGAGAGCTGATGGTTGAGGGCTTTTGGTCTACCATGGATTCCAGCATCTGGGGAAAATTCCTTCATTTTTCTAGAGGGAATGTCAGCGGCACATTGCAACTTCTACCACAGTGCCCAAGTCACCTGAAATGAAAATGATAACATGGTGTCTTGGTCCATTTGTGTTGCTATGACAAAATACCTGATTCTGGGTAATATATAATGAAAAGAGGTTTATTTGACTATTTGGTATCTGGAAGGTTCAAATAGCATGGTGCCAGTGTCCGTTGAGGACCCCTGTTATGATTAGGATGTGAGGTGTCTCCCAAAAGCTCACATGTGAGACAATACAAGAAGGTTCAAAGGAGAAATAATTGGGTTATAAGAATCTTAACCCAATTAGTGAATTAATCCCTTGATAGGGATTAACTGAGTGGTAACTGAAGTGGTGGGGTGTGGCTGGAGGGAATTGGGGTGTGGCTTTGGGATATATATTTGTATGTGGCAAATGGAGACATCTCTCTTTGCTTTCTGATCGCCATGTGAGCTGCTTTTCTTTGCCACACTCTTCTGCCATGATGTTCTGCCTCACCTGGAGTCCCAGGGAATGGAGCTGGTCTATGGACTAAGACCTCTGAAACCGAGAGCCCTCCAATAAACTTCTCCTCCCCTAAAATGGTTTGGGTTAGATCTTTTAGCCACAGCAGTGAGAAAGCTGACTAAATCAGCCCCACGTTGTAGTGTAATGGATAGCATCACATGGTGGGAAAGGACGCGAGAGAGTGAGCCAAGCGCCTTAGAAGAACCTGCTCCCACAGTAATGAATCCAGTTCCTTGAGATGGGCATGAAGCCCTTCTGAGGGCAGTGCCTCATGGCCTGATGATCTTCCCCAGTGCCCTGCCTCTGAGAGGTCTCCCCACCTGTGAATACCATTACGTTGGGAGCCAAGCTTCCAACATGTGAATCTTTGGGGAACAAACCACATCCACACTATAGTACATGGGTACATAGCTGGCGTAGGGTAAGGGAGGCAGCGTGGATGGAATTGTTTGCAAGTAATACTTTGGAATAATTGATATTTTTAACTTTAAGGATTCAGGATAACATTTGAGGGTGGATTCTACTAAAACAAACTATTACAGATTTTCAGTGGTTTAACAAAATAGAGGCTTATTTCTCTTCTTTCACAATCTGGTGCAGGTCTATGGGGTTGGGGGAAGATTCTGTTCTATCTACCTAATTTATTTAGGGACACAGACTCCTTCCGTCTAATGACCCTGCCAGTACCTAGGTCCTAGAGTCCTCCATTGGATCTTCTGATCCAGCTCTCAGAGGGGAGAGGGTGGGAGCATTGGAAGTTGTGCAGAAGGTCTGAGCCAGGCCCACATGGCATGTGCTTCATGCAGTTCCTGGGTGGGAACTCAGCCATGTGGTCCTGCCTACCTGAGGGAGGGAGGGAGGGAAGGACACAAAGGCCCTCACTGCCATGATGTCGCATAACTCAAAGCTCTTGATTGGCTCAATTTTATATTGGTGAACCAAAGATTCTTCGAAAACTTCACATTTTAGGTTCCCCAGAATTACAGAACTTAAATTGCTGCCATCACAATATCATAATTTTATTTACTTGAGGAGATTTAAAAAGGAGAGAAAAACTAAATTTTACCAGAGAAAGGATAGAAGGGAAGAATATGAGGCTTAGAATTTAAGGATTCCTTGCTCTGGAACCTCAAAAAGGCAAAATAATTTTGTGTGTGCACAAGTGTGCGCGTGTGCATGCACATGTAGATTTATTTTTAGATTGAGAAGCCCTGATCCTGTCACAGAGCTATGGAAACAGCCTCCTCTCATCCTCTCAGCTTATAGCAGGAATGTCTTCAGCTGGTGACATGGAGATAGTTGAGGGATCTTGGATTACAAGGAAATATTCATGCAGATAGCACTGACAGCTCCTTGCTGGATTCCCGTGAATACCACCCAAGTAGCCCTGGGGTTGGAGGAAGAGAGGTGGAGAAGAGGTGTCTATTACTTTTTCTGTCAGTCAAGGAGGATTACTGCTGAGGGATGGCTTCTTCCTTAGGCAGCCTTGCTCCAGGCGGTTTGGGGTATACAGGAAGAGAGGCACCTGGGCTGGAGAAGCTTGCAGGCTGAAAGCCGAGACTCCAGAAAGTAACCGAGGATAAGGCCGGGTGAGATGGAGTGTTTCAGAGAGGGAGAAGCGAGAGCACAAGGTCGCCTTTGAGAAACAGGTGTACTCTGACAGCGGGTGGGACGTCAGGGGCCTGGGGGAGTGCTTCAGGTGAGTGGAATATTGGAAATATTTCTGCAGCTCCAGTGAGACATGAGAGCCACCTATGAGGAATGGTGGCGGGCAGGGAGAAGTGGGACCAAAGTCGGGGAGTAGGGCAGAGCAGCGTATGAGGCTCCAGGGTCGGGTCTGGAGTCGAGGTTTAACGAGGCAGGACCATCGAAGGTTCTTACCTTAATGGAAAGACCTATGAAAATGTGGTGTTCTGGACTTTGTGTGAAGGAACATTAACAGAACACAGAGGTTTCTTCTGGAATTTTTATTTGACTACTGAGAATTTAAGACTGGTGGTTGTGTTCCCTCACTCCTTCGGCAAAGTTCATTTCACATGCTTTTAATCATACTGATTAAACAAATTACTGTGGTTTCCATAAGTGATGCAGTAATTTTTAAGGTTGAAATTAATTTGATCCAATTTTTAAAATAAAAATTAGAGATGCCCCTACTTTTAAGGAAATTATGGTCTGACTAGGTATAATATCCTTAAAATAAATAAGATGCTAAGATGGGGGGGGAGTGCATAGCAGTACTTACAGTACTTACCGACCTTGGAAAAAGCCCACAGTCATCCATATTTGATATTTTAAAATAAAATAAAGACCATGATTTAAAAAACAATGAAGAGGCTGGATACAGTGGCTCTCACCTATAATCCCAGTGACTCCAGAGACTGAGGTAGAAAGATTACATGTTCAAGGCCATCAGGCCATTTATTTAGCAAGACTGTATTTCAGAATAAAATATAAAAATGGCTGGGGATGTGGCTCAGTGGTAGAGCACCCCTGGGTTTAACCCCCAGTACCCCACCTCCCCAAAAAATTAAGGAAAAACTTAACGAGGAAGCCATCCCACCCCTCATTCCCCTTGAGTACTGCAGGAATCCAGGGAGTGTTAATTTGACCTGGAAACAGCATTGGGGGAGGGTGTAGGAAAGGCCTCACAGACACAGACCATACCTAAGGTTTCAGGGAGCAGCTGATGGAAGGGTATTAAGCACGGGAGAAGTATGGTCGGATTTGCACCTGGCAGTGTGGAGGATAGGCTGAACAAGCAGGTTGGGAGTAAGGATACCAACTGCCCCAGCACCTCAGACTGAGGAAGCTTAGAGAAGGAGAGAAAGCCTGAAAGGCTTCCTGGTGGAAGGGAAGCTGAGAAGGGAAGGACAGGAGCAGAGAACAGCAAGGAGCATTTCTCATAGAGAGAAGGTGTGAGCAGAAGCACAGAGTGAAAGAGCAGGGCCCGTGAAGCCTCTGGGAAGACTGGTGTGGCTAGCATGCAGAGGACTGATAGGGACTGGCACTCACTGACTGGTTGGGTAGCAGCTCAGGTCACCAAGTGCTTTATGTGTAACACAGAGAGTTCAGACTTTACCCAGTGATGAAGGGAAGACCGCAGACCACGCTAAGGCTAGTATCAACATGTTTCACAGGGTTAATAGGACCTAGGTGGAATTAAATAAGGAATCAATAACAGAAAGATAACTAGACTATCCCTGTGTGTTTAGCAATTAACCAATAAACATGTATAAGTCATCATTGAATCAAAGAAAAAAGCTTATGGGAATTAGAAAGTGTTTTGAACTAAATGATATTGAGAGTACTATATGTCAAAATATGTGTAAAGCTACTAAAACCAAGCTTAGAGGAAAATGTGTAGGCTAAAGTGCATATATTAGGGACAGAAAGGCTGAAAAATCAATCATTCAAATATCGATTTTAAGAAGTTAGAAGATATATAGCCATTAAACCCAAAGAAAGAAAACAAAACGATAAAGAGCAGAGTTTGGTGAAAAGAAAGCAAAATACAATGTAGAGGATCAACAAAGTCAAAATTTCTTTCTTTCAAAAGATTAAGCCAGGCATGGTAGTGCATGCCTATAATCACAGTGACTTGGGATACTGAGGCAGGAAGATCACAAGTTCGAGGCCAGCCTCTGCAACTTTGTGAGACCCTGTCTCAAAAAATAGAAAAGGTTGAGGATATAGCTCAGTGGTAATGTGCACCTGGGTTTGATCCGTGGTACCCCCGTCCACCTTCCCAAAAAAGAAAGATGAATAAAACTGAGAGACGTCTGGGAAGACAGATGAAGGTAAAGTCAAGAAGAGAAAAAGCAGTTGGATAACAGATGGCAAATGATCAGGCCCAGGAATAAACATTGGGAAACCATAGAAGCTGCAGATTGGGTTTTCTTCTTTGTGTGTGTGTGTGTGTAGTACTGTGCATTAACCTGGGGATGCTCTCCCAATAAGTTATATCTCTAGTCTTTTTAATTTGAATTTTTTGTTTTTTGGAACAAGGTCTTCACTAAATTTCTGAGGCTGGCCTCAAATGTGATCTTCCTGCTTCAGCCTCCAAAATTCCTGGAATTACAGGCTTGTACCATCATGCCCAGACTTTTAAAAGATTGAGAATATTATAAACAGTTTTACATCAAAAGTTCTGTGATTTTTGTGAAAAGTGGTCAATTTCTAGAATCATGTTAACTGAGCAAAACTGACTCATAAAATGTCTTGGAAGACCTTAAATCCTATAAACTTTAACCAATATTAATAATGAAATATCTTTACACAAAATGAGTGAAAAAATAAAGTAACAAAACCACATTCCAAGCCCAGATGGATTCACTGAAGCTTTTTTGTTCAACAGATTAAAAAGAATAAATAATTCCTGCCTCTTACAGACTCTTCCAGAGAACAGAAAAAAAGGTCACTCCTTACTCAGTTTTTAAAGCTATCTAGCATGAACTTGATTCCAAACCCCAGCAAAGACAATTCAAAAAGGAAAATTTCAGGCCCAGCTACTAAAAATAAAAAGCAGGTACCGAAGTCCTGAACAAAATTTGAGCAAATCCTACAATACATAAAAAAGATCATACATCACAATTTAGTTGGGCTTATGCCAAGAACATACACGGTTGATTTAACATGAGAGAAATCCATCAATGCCATTAATCACAGTAATAGGTTGTAATAGGTTAAGTAGATTTTAGTATATTAAAAACAAATCATTTTAGTAAATACCGAAAAAACATTTAATAAAAGTCAGTATTTGCTCATGCTGGAACTGCTTAGCAAACTAGGAATAATAGAGAAGTTTAATCTGAAAAAGGATATCTGTTTATAAAAACTCAAGCAAACAAGAGCCAGGTCCAGTGGCACATACCTGTAATCCCAGGTCTCTGCAGGTTAAAGCAGGAGGATTGCAAGTTCAAGACCAGTCCAGGTTACATAGCAAGACCCTGTCACAAAACAAAACTGAAACAAACATCGGAAGAATGAAATTTAGAAGTTTTTTTTCCAAGATCAGGACCAAGACAAGGATGTTCTGAACATCATTCTTTTCTCAGTATTGAGCTGGATGCCTAGTTTGGTGCATTGAGGGCAAAATAAATAAACAAATAGATTTGAAAATATAAATAAACCAAGGAGGCAATAATTCAGATAAAAAGGAGGGCATAGGTTTGAGAGACATTTAGGAAGAGTTCATGCTTTGGATGTTTGTGTTTATTTCTTTTGTTCAACAAACATTGATTAACTACATTGGCAACAAATAAGATAGGAAGAGAAAGAAAAGGAGAGGCCTGATATTTATTCATTTTCTACCATGAAGGTTCTGGACTCAGGTTTTCACATATTTTACTCTATTTCATTTAGGCATTCTCTTTACTATTTTGAAACCTCATGTAATGAGTCATTAAGGAAAGTACATGAGAAAAAGGTAATAAACTATTTGCATAAATTCATTCTCATTGTTAAATACTGGTTCAAACTTGTATTTAGGTATTAGGAGTATGTTGTACTTTATATAGCATTTCTCTTTAACTCTTCTCTCATTTGTATCCATATAGCAGATCTTTGAAGTAGGATGAAGTCTGGTAAATGGTGTTTTTCTAATTCTCTTGGCAAAGAAGCAAGTACAATGTTTACACCGATTAGCTCACTGTCTATATGGAATTGAGGAGTTCCCATTCTGGCGAGTAAATAATTTAAACCATTCCTTGAATACACATAATCAAAAGATTTTTGAAGTGGAAATATATTGAGGTCCTAGATGCATAGTTTAGAGAATCACTCAGAATACTCCCCATTAAGAGTCTGTAAGCTCAGGGGTGTGAGGTGGGGTGCACACCCATAATTCCATTTAATCAGGAGGATCATAAGTTCAAAATAAGCCTCGACAACTTAGCAAGACTCTGGCTAAAAATCTAAAACAACTTTAAAAGGCTAGGGGTATAGTTCAGTGTTAGAGCAACCCCAGTTCAATCCCCTACCATAAAAACAAAACAAAATAAAATAAAAATCCTAAAAAATAAAACTTCAAAAACAAAAAGAGTTTACTATGTAACCTGAAAGCAGAAGAGGAACTATAGGGAAAGGGGCTGGGGTGGGGAGAGTATCAGAGAGGGCAGACGTCATCGAAACAGTGGACAGGCTCAGGTCCTTAGGTATGCATAAATGGACTAATATAGGACAAATTTAAAAAGGGTTGGCATAGAAGGGAGATGCCACCCATGACTTGCTGATGGGGACTGGTGACAAAAGCAGTATAATGGGAGGGTATGTCCTATTCATAGAACACGTGTAATGGAGAAAAAACAGCATGGTATCCTGGAGATGAGAACAGACTGAAAATTACTTGGGCAGTTGCTGACTGACTGTTAATACTAGAAACAAACCATCTGACAAAATCTTGCCTTGCTTCTCATTGCTTTGAAGAGAGAAGAAATTATCCAGTTTTACAAACATTTCTGAATTCCGACTGCTTCCCAGGCACTTTGCCAAGTACATGGGATATTAAGTCCAATGAAGCTTAGACTCTGAGCTGGAAGAAAGCCCTGAGCCCTGCTCTTTGGCAGGAAGAATCCAAAACTTCCTTTCTTCTCTTTTTCTTGTTTTTGTGATATTAGGAATCGAATCCAAGGGTGCTGTACCACTGAGTTATACCCTCAGTCCTTTTATTTTTTATTTTGAGACAGGGTCTTGCTGAGTTGCCCAGGCTGGCCTTGAACTTGGGATTCTTCTGCCTCAGTCTCCCAAGTTGGTGGGATGGCAGGCGTGTGCCATCACATCCTGTAAGAACTTCCTCTTGTGACATACAGAGCCCTTCCTATCCCATCTCTGACTGCCTTTGCCTTACTGGATCTTCATTCTTCCAACTATAGTTGCCAGATTTGTGGAATTCTTTGTCCCTCCCTCATCATTTATCCTCTTCTCTTTGACATCTGCATTCCTCCTCTTTTTCCCTGACTACTTCTAGACAATAAACATGTTCACTTATTGACATATAAATAAAATCTGTGGATATGTTGCATTTTATATTCAAAATGCCTGAGGGCTGGGATTGTGGCTCAGTGTTAGAGCACTAGCCTAGCATGTGTAAGGCCTTGGATTTGATTCTCAGCACCACATATAAATAAATGAATGAAATAAAGGTCCATCAACAGCTAAAATAATATATAAACAAAAAGTGAATGCCTGAACATGTCTACTATCAATAGATTGACTGGTTTAGAAAACATGAGTTAAGAGACTTATTGCTATGTGCTATGCAATCAGTTCTTAAAATCATTATATTTAAATAAATGAGACTTTGGGTGCATCTTTTTGGAAACTCACTTTGACACAGGGTCTACAGGTTAGTCCAGAATTGAAATTATAATTTTTAATAAAGTTATGTGTGATGTAGCTTAGTAACAGTGCCTAATACATGGGAATCCCTGGCTTTGATCCTAGCATCTCAAAGGAAAAAAAAAAAAATCTGGGCTGCGGTTGGGGCTCAGTTGGTAGAGTGCTTGCCTAGCATGTGTGAGGTTCGATCCTCAGCACCATGTAAATAAAATAAGTAAGTTATTTAAAAAAAAAAAAGGAGTGAAAATTAAAAAAAAAAAATCAGTGTCTGTGCCATCTAGAACATGGCCATGGTTATTAAAGTTGTGATGATTATACTATTAATTTCAAGAAAATTAATTGTTAGGCAAATGGACATTTCTCCTTCTTTGTTTCAAAGGTATGTGATCCGGATGTTGAGACATCATTTTTCTCCCCTCTAGGACCGTGGAAGTTAAAAGGAAAAATAAGAGCAATGGCTGGCTTAAAACCGAATGCATCCCGTAGAGGTCTTTTTCAGTCCTGTTTGTGTATATGATTTCTGTAATGATGTGCAGATGTTCTGAATTTAGAGCTCTTGTGACAGACCTGACCTTCATGAACTTATTGCTTAAGTCTTATTCTTTTTATCTGTTCTTCCTGATGCTCTTTCCTAGCTCAGTAATTTTAAAAAGAAAGGTTTATTTTCATGTAGTGTAGTTGTTTAATAAAATGGGAAGTTTTTTTCCCCCTCTTGGAATATGGCCTTCATTTTCAAGTCTTCTTTGAAAAATCACTGTATTCATGAATTTCTTAATTAAGTTCTGAAAGTTCTGATAAGTAGAAGCATGGAAGTGAGAAGGGAAGAAGATGTGAGGGGTTTTGAGTATTGTGACTGGAGGTTCATTAATGCCGTCTTAGTTACCTCAGTGTGTGGATCCACATCTGATCTTACTCCAATGAGCATAGTTTTGGCGCCTGCCTGACTTCCTACCTGTGCTTGTTTCTGTAATTTTTCTAAGAATTGTAGAGCTTTGTGACTCAGGCCATTCCTCACATATGCTAGGCAAGCACTCTGCCACTGATGTGCTACTGAGGTTACTGTGCTCTGGTCCCAGGGCTCCCAGTTTTGACACACTGTTAAACCTTTTTGTTGTTGTTGTTGAAGTGCTAGGGATCAGACCCAGGGCCTTGCACACACTACACCAATGCTCTACCAATCAGCCACACCCCCAGCCCTGTTAATCTGGTTTATATGTTTGTTTTAGCTGTTTGCTTTTAAGAAATTACAAATCAGTGGAAATTGTAAAAACAATAGGATGAGCAATAGCATCTTTTCTCCTAAAGTCTTAGTTTGAGGCAATTTTGCTACATACCAGGCAGGGTGGCATAGCCCGTAACACTAGGGAGGCCTCTGCAGGAGGGTTACAGCACTTGAGCCCGTGTTGGAGACCAGCCTGGAAAACATAGCCAGACCCTGCCTCAGAAAAGCAAATACAATCTGCCATATTTGTTCTATCTCGATAGGTGGATATTTAATCTATCTATCTATCTATTAGAAACTAAGAAGTTGTTGAGTTTTTGACACTTATTCAAATATCTCAGCTTGCGTCTCCTAAATAACAAGATTATTCTACATAACTGTATACCATTATCACACTAAGAAAATTATCTTATTCTTACAGTATTGTCTTCCTAATTCTTACATTAATTACTTAATAATTAACTTACTTAACACAGGAAAAAGTGTTCTGAGTCAGTACCTACCTTAATCAGATGATCAAATTTAACATTCCCAGTAGTGCAATGGTCTGCCATTATGTATCTTCCAAGGTGATGCAATAAGAAATACACATCACCTTCATAGCCTGGTGCCAAAAATGTTTAACCTGAATGTAATCATGAAGAAATAATCAGATGAATCCAACATGTAGGACATGCTGCAGCTGGCTTTGAACCGTTCCCCAAAAGGCAGTGACATGAGAAAATAAAACTGGAGGGGGTGGGCTGTTCCTTACTAGAAGTTAAAGAAGCAGAGTAGCAGGCTGGGTGGAGGCTTAGCAGTGGAGCACTTGCCTAGCATGTGTGAGACACTGGGTTCAATTCTCAGTAACACATTGAAAAAAAAATAAAAGTCATTATGTTCAATACAACTAAAAATATTTTTAAAAATGAAGCAAGTAGTCATATGCAATGGGTAAAATTAGAGTAGAACCCAGATATGAGGTAAGAAAGCTTATAAAGGACATTGAGGGGCAGTTGGATACATTTTGATGTGGACTGTATATGATGGCATTGATTCCTTGATGTTTTTCTTTTGCCCTTGTTTCATTGAGCACATGGAACTATATTCCTCAGAATATATTTTAATTTTTAAAAGAATGATTTTCTGTCCATTCTTTTGTGGGAAGTTTTGCAATGTTTCCAGAAGGACACACCCTTGCTGAATGTGCAGGTGTTGGATGGGCCAGAGTGGGCTCCCTTCTCTGGGATAGTCAGGACCTGTGTATTGCTTATTATGAACTGCAGTTTTTAGGATAGCCAGAGGAAGGAGTAAAGGAGTAAAGACTGGGTAAGGGCGAGCTCCATATGAAGGAATAAATGATTCATCTGTGTGGAAGATAGAATCAAGCATCTCCAGGAATGTGGATATTCTAAAATACATACTTAAAAGTTTTGGTAACTCCATTCAGAATTTGGTCCTTTCATTTACAGTGAAGAAGTAAATTGTAGGATTTTTGTTTTCTAAAAATTACCTGGTTCCAGACCCTATTTCACATCATTTGTTCATCTTTCATTCATTCATTTGTTAATTTATCATTCAGCAAATCATCATTGCGAATCTGCTATGTGACAGGTACTGTGCTCAGTGAAGAGTTCAGTAGCCCCAACCCCTTCATCTGTGGGAAATATGTTCCAGGACCCCAAGTGGATGTCCGAAACTGCAGAGAATACTGAACCTTATATATCTTATGCTTTTTTCCCTATGCAAATATACCTATAAATTAGACACAGTTAGAGATTAACAACAACAATAGAGTTTCCCATTTATATTTACACATTACAGTTGACTGTGGGTGATTGAAGCAGCAGAAAATGAAACCACAGATAAGGGAGACTGCTCTCTTGTGAGAAAACCATTGTGTCACCCAGAATTTTTAATCTAGACAGGGAAACCAACATTAAACACAAGTAAAGACTCTGTTGCATTCACGGTAAATACTCCAAAGAAGAGATAGAGGTGCTGCAAAAGAGAATAATAGAAAGACTTTACCAACCTGAAATGTTACTGCAAAATGTAGCTCCGTAGATGTTTACCCTCCAACTTCATCCTCTCATTCCACCAGTCACTTTCTGCCGGATTCTGGTACATTCTCTTCCCTCATTTTAGAATGGGAACAAACTGCCTTATTCCATGAGTACCTTGGATATCAGTTTGTAAAGATAATTTGCTACCCTGGCTGAATAAAAGAAGGCATTTTCCTTATTGCCAGGACCTCCTTATTTTTCCAGAGAAGTTAGAAATCTAAATTTTTATGTGAAATTGCCTGACATATTAATGTTAGCAAATAAAAAAAAAAAATTTCAAACTGTGGCCTTAACTTGATATACTTGTGAGCTTCTAGTTTGCAGCTTCTGCTTAAAGGAACACAGAAGTCTAGTTATATGAGACCCAATTCAGACATCGGCCCTAACTAAAAATTTCTTTTACATAAATTACTAAATGAAAGATGCAGAATACCAAGGATACAAACCAAAAGATAGGCAGGCAGATAGATAGATAGGTAGGTAGATAGATAGATATAGATAGATATTTTGTGGCACTGGGGATTGAACCCAGGAACATTTTACCTCTGAGTTTATATCCCTATCCCTTTCATTAAAATTCGACTTCAAGGCAGGCCCCAAACTTTTGATCCTCCTGCCTCAGCCTCCCAAGTAGCTGGGATTACAGGTGTGTGCCACTACACCTGGCCAAAAGATTTTTCCTAAAACAAAGCCTCTTTTATTTTCTCCTTAATATAATGTTAAGCAATAAGTAATTATTACCTTCACTGGTTTCTCACCCTTCCTCCCTTCTTTAATCCAAGCAGTAAAGATCCTTCTATAAGGGCAGACAAAGGAGATTTGTCCATGATCAGCCTTCATGACCACAATCTGATCAGTGTTTCCTTGGCCTGCCTTCTACTCTTTTTTTTTTCTTCTTTTTAAAGGTAATAGCTTTCCTGAAATACATTTTATATACTTTACAGTTTACCCATTTAAAGTTCAAAATTCTGTTGTCAGATATTCAGAGTTGTACAAATCTCACCACAATTTTATTCATTTACACTGCCCCCATAAGAAACCATATAGTCATTTTAGTCATGCTGTTTTTCCCCAGCCAGAGGCAGTGACTAATCTACTTTCTGTTGCTATAGATTTGCCTATTCTGGATATTCTGTGTACAGTAAATGGACTCATACAACATGTAGTCCTTGTGACTGTTTTTTTTCACTTAGCATAATGTTTCAAGGTTCATCCATATTATAATATGAATCATTACTTCATTCTTTTTTGTGGCCAAATAATATTCCATTGTAGAATAATACACATTTTATTTACTTATTCATCAGTTGATGGACATTTAGGTTCCTTCCACTTTTTTTGAGGGGAGGTACCAGGGATTGAACTCAGGAGTGCTCAACCACTGAGCCACATCCCCAGCCCTATTTTGTATTTTATTTAGAGACAGGGTCTAATTGAGTTGCTTATTAGCACCTTGCTTTTTGCTGAGGCAGGCTTTGAACGCGTGATCCTCCTGTCTCAGCCTCCTGAGCCACTAGGATTACATGTGTGTGCCACCACGCCCAGCATCCTTCCATTTTTTTACTATTAAGAATAATGCCATTGGGGCTGGGGATGTGGCTCAAGCGGTAGCGTGCTCGACTGGCATGTGTGCGGCCCAGGTTCGATCCTCAGCACCACACACAAACAAAGATGTTGTGTCCGCCGAAAACTAAAAAATAAATATTAAAAAATTCTCTCTCTCTCTCTCTTAAAAAAAATAATGCCATGCAATTAGAGAAATACAAATCAAAACTACACTAAGATTTCATCTCACTCCAGTCAGAATGGCAATTATCAAGAATACAGGCAACAATAAATGTTGGCGAGGATGTGGGGAAAAAGGTACACTCATACACTGTTGGTGGGACTGCAAATTGGTACAATCACTATGGAAAGCAGTATGGGAGATTCCTCAGAAAACTTGGAGTGGAACCACCATTTGACCCAGCTGTCCCACTCCTCAGTTTATACCCAAAGAACTTAAAATCAGCATACTACAGTAATGTAGCCACGTCAATGTTTGTAGCAGCTCAGTTCACAATAGCTAAACTATGGACCAACCTAGGTGTCCTTCCATAGATGAATGGATAAAGAAAATGTGGTCTATATATTCAATGAAATATTACTCAGCTTTAAAGAAGAATGAAATTATGGATTTTCCAGTAAATGGATGGAGTTGGAGAATATCTTGTTAAGCGAAATAAGCCAATCCCAAAAAACCAAAGGCTGAAGTTTTCTCTAATAGGTGGATACTAATCACAATAAGGTGGGTGGGGCACTAGAGAATAGTTACCTTAGATGTAGAGAGAAATGAAGGGAGGAGAGGAGAGGGGATATGGGGCTAGGAAGGATAGTAGAACAGAACATATATTACTTTATGTATATATGTGACTTCATGACCAATGTGATTCTTCAACTTGTATACTCAGAAAACTGAGAAATTATATCCTATCTATCTGTGATATATCAAAGTACATAAATGCATTCTACTGTCATGTGTAACTAATTAAAACAAATTTAAAAAAATTAAAAAAGTATAAATAGGAATAACAAATTATCAACAAAACAAAGCAAACAAACAAAAATACCCACCATGAAGCAGCTCTGGAAGCTGAGACAGGAAGATTACAAGTTCAAAACCAGTTTCAGCAACTTAGTGAGTCCCTAAGCAAGTTAGTGAGACCCTGTCTCAAACAATAAAAAGGGCTGGGGATGTAGTTCAGTGGTTAAGTGCCTTTGGATTCAATCCCTGGTACCAAAAACAAAAAACAAAACCCTGCTGTGAACATTTGTGTACAAGTTTTTGTGTAGACACAGTGTTTTCATTTCTCTTGGGCATATACCTGGCAGTGGACTTGCCCAGTCATGATGACTCTGTATGTAACTAGTGGAAGAAAACTACCAGAGTGTTCCAAAGCTGCTGCTGCATCATGCTCCCCACCAGCTGCATGTGTGAGGTTCCTTTTCTCTCCCCTTCCGCTGGATATTTCAGACACTGATGACCACCTATTGCAAATTTTCATTTCTCAACCTGGGCACTGAGAGCTGTGTTTTGTTTTCTTTTTCAATAAGAATATTATAAATTAATAAGCATACAAAATCTTTCATGATAAAATTTGAAAGCATTCTTGAGCAGCTTTCAAGTTTTCTTTCTTCTCTATGTTAACTAAGTTGTTGCTTGAGAAAGCAGTGTACCGTGCCTTTTTTTCCCCTTTTCTTTCTTTCTTTTTGTTTTTGTAGTACTAGGCATTGAAACTAGGGGTTTTCTACCACTGAATCACATTCCCAGCCCTTCTTATTTTGAGGTGGGGTCTGTAAATTTCAGAGGTTGGACTTGAATTTGATATGCACCCACCTCAGCCTCTCAAGTCACTGGGATTACAGGCATGGGCCACCTCACCAAGTGGATACAATTCTCTTTTAATGTCTGTCAAGTGCATCTTTTTCCCAGATGGAAAAAGAAATGTCATATGGCAAAAGACTTAGAGAGTCTCATCTGTGCGTGGTCTCTGACACATGTGTATCTGTTCTCACAGAGGTTCATATTATTTGGATTTGTAAAGCAAATCCTAGACATCATGGCATTTTGCTCACAAATCCTTTAATATTCATCTCTAACACAGAACTTTTTTTTTTTTATAAAGTATTATGTTTTTATCCTATACTAACAATAATTCTTCTAATACACAATCTACTTTTAAACAATCCTGTTCATTCTTTTTTTTTTTTTTTTACTGAGTACTGGAATTAAACCCAGGGTGCCGTACCACAGAGCTACATTCCCACCCCTTTTTATTTTTTAATTTGAGACAAGGTCTTGCTAAATTCCCCCGGCTGGCCTCTAGCTTATGATTCTCCTGCCTTAGCCTCCTGGGTCACTGGAATTACAGGTGTGTGCTACCTCACCTGACTGTAATTATCTTAAAAATGCCTTTTCTTAGCACTTTGGGTCTGAGTCCAAACAAGGTCTACTACATGTTTGGTTGTTTCATCTTTTTCCATTTTTTTTTTTTTTTTTGTATCAGAGATTGAACTCAAGGGTACTCGACCACATCCACATACTTTTTTAAATTTTGAGACAGGGTTTTGCTAAGTTGTTTAGGGCCTTGCTAAGTTGCTGAGGCTGGCTTTGAACTTGTAGTCCTCCTGCCTCAGCCTCCAAAGCCTCTGGGATTACAGATGGACACCATTTATCTTTTTATCCTAGATTAATTCTTTTAGAAAGATCTTTTTTTTTTTAGCTGCAGATGGACACAATACATTTATTTTATTTATTTATTTTTATGCAGTGCTGAGAATCAAACCCAGTGACTCATGTGCTAGGCAAATGTTCAGCAACTAAGCTACAACTCCAGCCCCTAGACAGATCATATTTGGATAAGTAAAACAATCACAAAATAGTGTGAAACAAAATTTAGTAAGACATTCATTAGGATGCGATCAGTTATGAGGCATCTAAGTTTCTAATAGAATCTTTGTTAGCCCCATTGGTAGATATGTGGTGTATATGTTAGGGAACTAGATTAACTTGATTTGAAGCATCTGCCCTTTCGCTGTAGGCTGTGCGATATCATGCAGGTACTTTAGTGTTTGTTTTTTATTTAAGTTTTACATGTGCATAGTTTGAAAAGCACTTCCCAATTACTACCACTACTTGATTTTTTTTTTTTTTTACCTCCAAGAGGCATCCATTTTTAACTCTTTAACTAATTTGCTTTTAACTTTTTAGTTCCAAATATCTAAGTAATTAATAAGCTTATGTTGATAGTTCTTGATTTTTCTATTTTGAGTTTTATCTACTAACTTTCTGCAGTGGAAAATAAAGATTCAGTGCTCCATCATGCTCACAGCTCCTCTACCACGGACATGCACTCCAACCTCCCACTCTCCCAGCACAGAACACTCTATATATTATGACCGTGAAAATGCTACTCTTAGACACGACGATTATTGATGTTCACTGCATATTTTGTTTTTCCTGAAGTCAGTAAAAGTTTTGTTTTTTGCCTTGCTCGTTACTTATCACTAATGCAACCTTAAATTCTCCCTAGTTGTATAAATCTCCTCTCCATATGTTCAGGCATATTAGGTAGTTGATTACTTTCTGATTCTTGAAAAAAAAAACTCTCTAGAAGTCTCCTGACATGCCCTGCCCTGGATGTTTGCCATCTCTGCCAGCGCACTGCTGTAGTCTTAATGTCTTCCTTCACCATCATCCTCTTGTGGTAGATCTCTTCTTTGCTGCCCCACTTTTTTCGTTTCCTTCTTCACTTATGAACATATTTGTACTAATTTCCTGAGAAAGACTACACGAGGAACAAATTTTGGAGACCTTTCCTATATGAAAATGTCTTTATTCTTTTTTTTAATGGTGCTAGGGATTGAACCCAGGGCCTTGTGCATGCAAGGCAAGCGCTTTACCAACTGAGCTATATCCCCAGCCCAAAATGTCTTTATTCTAATCTCAAACTTAACTGACACTCTCACACTTAATTGACAGTCTGGCTGGGTATAGAATTCCAGGTTTCAAATCTCAGTATTTTCAGCGTATTGTCCCCATTTTATTCTAGGCTTTTATTGTTTTTGTTGAGGAGTCTTCTGCTATTCTGATTTTCCATTTGTCTTTATAAAAGTTGTTTGTTGTTGACTTTGTGGAAATTTATGTGTTCTGAAATTTCAGATGGTGTACCTTGGTGGAGAACTGTTTGCATATTATGCTAGACACTCAGAAGGCCCTTTCAGGCTCAAAAAATTTGTAATTCTAGGGAAGTTTTATTGAATTATTTATTTCAAAAATTTCTCTTCTTTATTTATTTATTTATTTTTCTTTCTAGAATTACCAGGTGTCATGTTTTCAAGACTTGACCTCTAATCTTTTTTAAAAACCTTTCTCTCCAATTTCCCATCTCTGAATTTTTGCTGTATGTTCTGAGACATTTCCTTAACTTACTTTTCAATCCTTTCTGTTTCTGATATTGTATTTTTAAGTGTGTTGTTTTTCACGAAACGCACCTTTTTAATGATATCTTCTACTGTTTCATGAGTAAAATTTCTTCTTTTTGAGAATTTTAATGTTTTTTCTAAGTTTTTAATCCCTCCTGTGTATTTTCAGTTGTTCCACATTGCATTTATTTTTCATTTGTTTTGGTCCCTTTCTTTACATGGGATACTTTCCAATGATGCCTTGTAATCTTGGCAGTTGGCTCATATGTAAGAATAAGGTGCTTGTTTTTAGTGTCATCCTTGTTCCCACCTCCAGTGGTCTCCGATGCTGCCGGTGAGAGCTGTGAGGAGTTCCGTGGCATATCACACGTTGAATTCAGCATGTGCACTGTTGTATCTGTGCGGGATTCAGATTTCTTGGGTTTGCTGAGTTCCACTTGTTTTTTGCTTCTCAACTTCCAAACTTTGTTGCTTGTGTCTCTTCTGTTCTCTTTGACTGGTACTTCTGCTTTCCAACAAAAGTGTAGGTTTAGGAGGAAGAAGAGGTGTTTATGCAAACCATGGCTTCTGTGCCAAATTTAGTCAACAGCCTGCTTTGTGGCTTGAATTAAAAATGGCTTTTATACTTTTAAAAGGTGTTTTATCAAAGCAAAACAACCCAGAATATGTTACAGACATTCTGTGTGGCCCACAGAGCCTAAAATATTTACTAGCCATTTACAGAAAATGGTTCCAACTCCTGACTGAAATCTACTGTTTTCAACTGGAAGACTAATCTCTTCCCTTTCGATTTCCATAGCCAATGGCCACATTCCGCTTCACAGAGAAATCAAATCTTTCAGGCAGTCTACCCCTTACTTTTCTGGCCCTATACTTAAACCATTGCAGTCTGTGGGTTACCCATAGCACTTCATTAAATCCAGCCTGAATGAATGGCAAAGCTCACTGAAGAACTCCTTATTACTAAATTCTGTAGCTGTGTTTTCACTCTGTTTCACTTGACTGCCTGGTTGATGGCTTGGATATTGTGTGGCTTCCATTCTCAGTACCTTATTGAATTTCCTCTTCCTGAGATCACCAGAAACAGCCAAATGCCAAATCCAGATATCCAGTTTTGTTTTCTGTTGCTACCAACACATACTTCAGATTGAGTATTATCAAGGGTCCACATCTGAAATGAATGACCTTCTTGCTGGTACAGTCTTGAGGTGGTGCAGAGCATCACATGGTGAGAGGCTGGGAGCATGTGTGTGTGATATTCTGGTTTCCTCTCCTTTTCTTAAAAAGCCAACAGTTTTCAATCATGGGGCCTCCATCCTGATGACCTAATCCAGTCTTAATCACCTCCCACAGGCTGTACCAATATAGTCAGATTCACTTTCTTCTTAGTACCTACCTCACAAGGGGAATTAAACTCTAACACATAAAAGACAAACCATATGCAGACCATAGCACCAGAGGATACTTTTCAAACCTTATCTTGACCTTTCTTTTGTGACACTTAGCATTATCATTGCCCATCTATTTCTGGAATATTTCTCTTCCCTTTATTTTGTGATGCCATATTCTCATAGTCCTCGCCACCTCACCTCCAGTTTCCATATCCTTCCATCCTTCCTCTGACATTTCATCTCTCCTTCTATCCCTTCCACCATAGCCTCATGTTAGACCTGCATCATTTCCTCGAAAGCTCTTCTGACACTTCCTGGCCTCTGTACTTTTCTATCTTTCACACGCTACTAGACTGGTTTTCCTGAAACAACAATCTGTTTATATCATTAGCATTCTGAAAAATCTGTAGGGCCTTTCTCTGCCCTGTTTCCACTCAATAAAATCCAAACTTGCCAGTTGTGGTGGCACACGCCTATAATCCCAGAGACTCTGCAGGCTGAGGCAGGAGGATCAGAGGCTTAAGGCCAGCCCCAGCAACTTAGCAAGACCCTATATCAAAAAATAAGAAAGGCTGGGTTCAATCACCAGTACCAAAAAAAGAAAAGAAAAATCCACACTCCTAACATGATATTCAGAGCCAATCTGGCCTACTTTCCTGCCTTATTTTTACTGTGTCTCCCCTTCTCTTCTCTTCTTACTGTAGCCCAACACCAGGTCCTTATCACTCCCCTTTCCACTACCGCTCAGTCACCATCAATATTGATGGTGATGAAGGTGATAATAAAAACATTAACAGCAGTGTGTACTCAGGTCTTCCACTGTGCCAACCATTGTGCCAAGTGCTTGATTCAAATCAAGTCCTGGGGCTGGGGATGTGGCTCAAGCCGTAGCGCGCTCGCCTGGCATGCGTGCGGCCCGGGTTCGATCCTCAACACCACATACAAACAAAGATGTTGTGTCCGCCGAAAACTAAAAAATAAATATTAAAAAATTCTCTCTCTCTCTCTCTTTAAAAAAAAAAAAAGTTAAAAAAAAAAAAAATCAAGTCCTTTAATCCCCATGACAGCCTTATGGGGTGGGTTCTATTACAGGTCCCTGTCACTGCAGACTTGAATTCTGTAAGTCTATCTGTTTTCAGGGGTTTCAGAAAAGAGACTTTAGGGTTGTATGACCCTTTTTAAAGATGAGGAAATAAGACTCAAAGTCACATAGTGGAAAAGTGGCAGAGCTCAGATTAGCACCTTGGTGGCCTGACTCAAAGCTCACACCTTGCCTGCCATTCCATGCCTTCAGCCACCCGTAGGTCTCTGCCCTTGACCTCTTCCCTACTCCCTATTCAATAGCAGTCTTAGGTTCTTCACCCCTAGGGCCTTCTGAAAATGTCCCACTAATAATCCCCAGCCCTGGCTGAGTCTGCCCATCCACCTCTCAGATCGTGCTCTTCATTTGAGTCCCAGCGTAATGACTATTCACGCTGACCCGTCACTCCCCCTGCGCCCTGGTCAGAACTTAGCAATATTGCCTCTCAAGTTCCCTCCCTCAGCTTCCTTCCTCTTCCTGGGCAGCCATACTAAACCTTTCCCAGGCCCTTGAAGTTGCACACCTGTCTCCTGGGTGTCTCTTGGTTTCAGCATGTGCCTAATTCTGTCTTCATTCCAGCTGCTTCCACTGCAGCAGTGCCGCCCCTCCCTCCCCACCCCCTGAAGAGCTGCAGCTGGTAGAGTGCCGGCTCTCCAGACTTCCTGGTCTCCCCTGGGTGCGGTGCTCCAGGGGGCTGTTCTGCCCTGGTCCTCAGCCAAGTGCCTTTTGTCTCCTGGTATGACATAGCAGTTTTTTCCTCAATTTCATGGTGACTCACTTTGTAAAAATAGTCTTTGATGTGTCAAAGCCTCTTTTGGAAAGTCTACACAGGTTGTATTGACTGGTTCCTTTTAGTCACATGCATTTTTACCTCCTGAAAGAAACCCTAATATATTAATTAGGTATGATTTTACCTTCCTGAAACCACACACCCCTCACTTTCTATGCTTCAGTGCCTTTCCTTAGCTTTCCCACCATACCCATAGGCCTGGCCTACAAGGTTACCTTAGACCAGCTCATACTTTCTGCTCCACATCTTCCTTGTTTCTCCTGGCAAAACTCCCCTTGATCCGAACACCTGCAGTGACTCTAGAGGCTTGTGATACCGTTATTTGCCTCTCTCTACCAACCACAGACAGTTCAGACACTCTTTGATGCCAGGGACCATGTCTGATCTTTTCATGGAGTCTCACAAGCTTAGCAAGGCCTCTGTAGAATATGTTTGGCAAGTTAAATTAAAGGAGAAACTCCATGAAACAAGTTGTTTACAACAGCCTCCTCTTGCTCATTCACTGCAGAGTCCTGGCAGCTGGACCATTGTGTAGAAATCATTTCCATTAAAGTTACCCCCAAAAGTTGAGGGCACTTTCTAAAAGCTAGATTAGAGAACACAGCTTAGGCCCGTGGTCCAAGTAGTCCTCTCCTTGTTCTAAATTGCGGATTCTGTGGCGAGTTGTGACTGGTGTCAGGACTGCCCAGCCATCAGTGGGCAGAGAATATACCCCAGGGTGATAAAGTGAGAGGCCTGGGAGGAAAAGGTGAGCCCACGGCAGTGATGAAGAGCTCCAGAAGCAAGAGAAGAAAAAGAAGAATCTCAGTTTTAGGCCAGGCCTCATGAGAACTGAGGAAAAGCCGAACCCTGAGGCCTCATGGAAAGTTGTGGCTGGTTGCCATGGTGACTGGAGCTGGGAGAACATTCTGAATCTTAGGCAACTTTGTCTTATTGCCCTCAAGAGCAGGGCAGACTCTTCACTCTCATGCTCTCCCATTGTGGGCCCCAGGGCTCAGCATCTAGCCCAACCTGTGGCCCTGTGCTCGCTCCTCTGGGTCTGCTCTATCTCCCACCAGCTCTGCCAGTGCTCTGTACTTCCCCTCGCAGATCTCAAAAGGCAGGCCCCGTCCACCCCACAGATGGAAGGTCAGTGTTGCCTTCCATGGCCAAGCAGCCTCCCATGGTCCAGTGGTCAGAGGAGAGGCAGGGTGGCATGGTTCAGCTGCAGGACCCTCTGGGTCACAGAGCAGTCGGCATCTGTTTGCGCGAGCCCAGACCAGGGATGTGGTCCTCCGTCCGTGTCTCCCACTCATGTCCCTTTAGTCATGAGTCCTGAGGTTTTGCTTTTCAACCTTTCTGGCCCCCTTCCTTTTTTCTTCATTCTATCCTCACAACTTCTGTCTGGGCTACTAGCCCTTCTTGTCGGGAGTGCTGCATTCTCCTGTATAGCCAGCTCCCTGCCTGCAGTCTTCTGCGATCTACCCTCTAGTCTTGCCAGAAGAGTCAGTTTAGTTCCTACGTAGCAGTTGAAGTTTATATTTAAAAATATAAATCAGATCCTGTTACTCCTTGTTTGGTTTGGTTTTGGTAGTATTGGGATTGAACCTAGGGCCTAGTGCATGTGAGGCAAGTGCTCTACTACTAAGCTGCATTCCCACTCATTCCCTTGGTTTTAAACTATAACAGACATCCTCCATGGCCTCCTGCAGGTTGGGCTCATCTTCCTCTGACTGCATTTCCCACCTTTCTGCTTTTCCTGCTCTCTGCTCCAGCAACACTGGCCTCCTCTTGCTTCCTTAAGCACAACGAGGTTGCTGCACTTGCTTTTCCTTCTGCCTGGAACTCTCTCGATCTTTTCTTAATGGGCTCCTGTCTTCGGGACTCAGTCCACATGTCACGAAATGCCCTAACTATGTAATAGTGCCTATACTTCTACCTTTGGTGTATATTAACATTGTTCAGTGTTCTTCATATTGCTCTCACTGTGAAGTTACTTTATTCATTTTTTTACTTACTTTTTTAAAAAAAAATCTAACTAAAATGTGAATTCCTTTAGAATAGGAACATTCCTATTTTACTTACCGTTGTATCCCCTAAGTCTGGTGTGCAGTAGTTGCTCAATACCAAGTATGTTAATGAACAGTGAAATTTCCCTCATGACTCTTTTTTTTTAAATCCTTATTTGTTATAGGGATAGTTTAGATTTATATGAGTTTGTATCTCACCTATTATCCTGTGATCTTCATGAGGAAACCGTCTGGGTTTTTATTCACTGTTGGATTTCTAAGCTTACACATGGCAAACAGCAGATATGTGTTGCCTGTGTACCATGAAAGGCAGCACCCAAAATGCAGCCCATTCACTGTACACTGGGTGCTTTGGAAACCTCAGAATGGCAGGAAGACTGAGCCACATTCTCCTTTTTATTTCTTATATTCTGCTTCAGAAACCAGACACAGGAAACATCTGACCATAATAAAAGATTTCCAGTAAGTTCCAGATTTCCTCATTGAACAATCATGTGTGGCATAGCTCTGTTATACCTTGGCCTGGGATTTGGTTCAGTCACTTGTGCAACACCCCACGGGCTGCCTCTGGCCTGGGAGCCAGAAACAACTGGAGCTGGGATGCTTGAAATGAAAACTGACCTCTTTGTTCGCTGGAAAGAGAGAAGTCTGAGTATTCTTGCTCTGTTTCTTACAAAGCAAACTTGTCAATTTGTTGAATACTAAGTTTTCCTGTTAGCTGTCAGAGTGGTTTACAACTAAAATAATCTTAGATCCTTTTGAATAAGCACAAATTATAAATAGTCAAACTGTTTCTGAAGTCTGTGCCTTTAATGCTCAAAGCAAAATTCATCTCCAATTACACAAAACATGAATATGTCACCAGCTTCCTCTAGAAATGTGTAACCTCTTGCTTGTATCATCTGAACCTTGAAGACACATGCTCTTAGGAGCCTTGTACCCACCACTGGGAAGAATGTTTGCTAGGACCTTGACTTTTCTTTCTAGTCGGACTGTGGCTTGTCGGCTTTCCTCCTCACACCAACATCACTTCATTGTATCTTAAGTGTCTACTAACTTGTCTCTCTTGACTGGAAATAAAAGATACAACCTTTCTTTCTCACACCATCATTCTCTTTTTGAGATGCGTTCTCGCTGGGTTGCCCAGTCTGGTCTCAAACCCTTGGGCTCTACCAGTCTTCCTGTCTCAGCTTCCTGAATAGCTGGGACTACAGGCGCCTGCCAAAGACTGTCTTTTGCTGGGCTCTGTGTCTCTAGTATCTGGCTCAGGGCTTAGCACATAATAGGCTCTTAATAATATTTGTGGGAAGGAAGGAAGAACAGAAGAGGGGAGAAAGCCCAGCCATGCTGGACATGGTGGTGCACACCTATAATCTCATTGACTTTGGAGACTGAGGCTGGAGATTCGCAAGTTTGAGGCCAGTCCTGGCAACTTGATCAAAAGGGCTGGGGATGTAGCTCAATGGTAAAGTGTCCCCAGATTCAATCCCTAGTACTGGGAAAAAAAAAGGCCCAGTCTGTTGAGGGATTAGTACAGATCACCTTAGTAACTAAAGAGAAAAGTTGAGCAGCCTTTCAGCCTGTACAGTGAGTAATGGAGAGCAAGACCCTTCCATCCTTTGGCATTGGTACCAGTGAGTTAGAGGTTCAAGTCCTGCAGCTGGATTAGAAAGTTCTTTTTCAACATATTTTCCCCTTGTGATATAAATAATACATGATTATTGTAGAAATTTTGCAAAAGTTCAGAGAATAAATATCACTTATAATTCAAGCACTCAGAGACAACCACTGTTAACATTTAGCCTTTTTTAGTCTTAGGGAAGTTTTAAACTTTAAATTAACTTTTAGCCCTTTTTCTTTGCATCTAGATTGAAAGGGTTTTTTTAAAGATTGAATTGGGGCTGCAGTTGTAGCTCAGTGGCAGAGCGCTTGCCTAGCATGTGTGAGCCACTGGGTTCGATCTTCAACATCACATAAAAATAAATAAAATAAAGGTATAAAAATAAAATAGTTGGGGCTGGGTCTGTAGCTCAATGGTAGAGTGCTTATCTCACACATGCAAGGCACTGGGTTTGATCGTCAGCTCCACATAAAAATAAATAAAAGATATTGTGTCCATCTACAACTAAAAAGAAATACAATGGTATTATTAAAAAAAGATTAAATCAGGACTGCTTGTGAGTACAAAGAAGGCAGATTACAATTGGAAAAGTACTCATCAACTGCAATAAAAATATGAGATTCTTTTTTAAATTTTTTGCTCATCTGGGCAATCAAATCCTCAGTTATCGATGCCCGTTTTGCTGCAGGTGCATGAGAGCTGTTGGGTGCTTTCCTCACTCGCGCTGCTGCCTCTCTGAGAGCACTTTTCCCTTCCCAAGATGTGCCAGGCTGGAACCCCTGCAGTGTCATCATCTAAGGATTGTTCAGGATTGACATGAACTGAATGAGAGTCAGTGCCCAGAATCAGGTTCTTCCCCAAGCTTGTGAAATGTCACTCAGATAACATCACCTTTGAAAGAAAGCAAGGACAGTTACTAATGTATCCCTCAGTTAATAAACATATTGACCACTTTCTACATGCCAGTCACTGCACTAGGCATCACAGCTGCCAAGTGAAGAGACAGTCCTTGTTCTCAGGGAACTTGCAGCTTCGCAAGAGAAGAGAGAAGCCAACAAGGGTCACGTGTTAGTCAGTTTTGGATCACTGTAACCACAGTACTCAACAAGAACAGTGTAGGGGAGGAGAAGTTTATTTTGGCTCAGGGTTCCAGAGGTTTAGTCCATGGTTGACAATTGCTCT